ACTTAAAACACTAACATTTGAGAGACATTGATCTTACTTAAAACACTAACATTTGAGAGGCATTGAGCTTACTTAAAACACTAACATTTGAGAGACATTGAGCTTACTTAAAACACTAACATTTGAGAGGCATTGAGCTTACTTAAAACACTAACATTTGAGAGGCATTGAGCTTACTTAAAACACTAACATTTGAGAGACATTGAGCTTACTTAAAACACTAACATTTGAGAGGCATTGAGCTTACTTAAAACACTAACATTTGAGACATTGAGCTTACTTAAAACACTAACATTTGAGAGACATTGAGCTTACTTAAAACACTAACATTTGAGAGACATTGAGCTTACTTAAAACACTAACATTTGAGAGGCATTGAGCTTACTTAAAACACTAACATTTGAGAGACATTGAGCTTACTTAAAACACTAACATTTGAGAGGCATTGAGCTTACTTAAACACTAACATTTGAGAGGCATTAAGCTTACTTAAAACACTAACATTTGAGAGGCATTGAGCTTACTTAAAACACTAACATTTGAGAGGCATTAAGCTTACTTAAAACACTAACATTGAGAGACATTAAGCTTACTTAAACACTAACATTTGAGAGACATTGAGCTTACTTAAAACACTAACATTTAGAGACATTAAGCTTACTTAAAACACTAACATTTGAGAGGCAAATTGACTTACTTAAACACTAACATTTGAGAGACCGAGCTTACTTAAAACCTAACATTTGAGAGGCATTGAGCTTACTTAAAACAACACTAACATTTGAGAGACATTAAGCTTCTTAAACACTAACATTGAGAGACATTAAGCTTACTTAAAACAATAACATTTGAGAGACATTGAGCTTACTTAAAACACTAACATTTGAGAGACATTGAGCTTACTTAAAACACTAACATTTGAGAGACATTAAGCTTACTTAAACCCTAACATTTGAGAGACTTAAGCTTACTTAAAACACTAACATTTGAGAACATTGAGCTTACTTAAAACACTAACATTTGAGAGGCATTGAGCTTACTTAAAACACTAACATTTGAGAGACATTGAGGCATTGAGCTTACTTAAAACACTAACATTTGAGACATTTAAGCTTACTTAAAACAATAACATTTGAGAGACATTAAGCTTACTTAAAACACTAACATTTGAGAGACATTGAGCTTACTTAAAACACTAACATTTGAGAGACATTAAGCTTACTTAAAACACTAACATTTGAGAGACATTAAGCTTACTTAAAACACTAACATTTGAGAGGCATTAAGCTTACTTAAAACACTAACATTTGAGAGACATTAAGCTTACTTAAAACACTAACATTTGAGAGGCATTAAGCTTACTTAAAACACTAACATTTGAGAGACATTAAGCTTACTTAAAACAATAACATTTGAGAGACATTGAGCTTACTTAAAACACTAACATTTGAGAGACATTAAGCTTACTTAAAACACTAACATTTGAGAGGCATTGAGCTTACTTAAAACACTAACATTTGAGAGACATTAAGCTCACTTAAAACACTAACATTTGAGAGACATTAAGCTTACTTAAAACACTAACATTTGAGAATTGGCTTACTTAAACACTAACATTGAGAGACATTGGATCTACTTAAAAACACTAAACATTTGGAGAGACATTAAGCTTACTTAAAACACTAACATTTGAGAGACATTGAGCTTACTTAAAACACTAACATTTGAGAGACATGAAGGCTTACTTAAAACAACTAACATTTGGAGAGGACAATGAAGCTTACCTTAAAACAACTAACATTGAGAGACAGTAAGCTTACTTAAAACACTAACATTTGAGGAGAGGCATTGAGCCTTACCTTAAAAAACACTAACATTTGAGAGACATTGAGGCTCACGTTAACTAGAGACTTGAGCTCACTTAAACACTAATTTGAGAAGGCATTGAAGCTTACTAAAACACTAACATTTGAGAGACATTGGAGCTTACGTAAAACACTAACATTGAGAGGACATTGAAGCTTACTTAAAACACTAACATTTGAGAGACAATTGAGCTTACTTAAAACAACTAAACATTGAGGAGACATTGACTTACTTAAAACACGAACATTTGAGGAAGACATTGAGCTTACTTAAAACACTAACATTTGAGAGACATTGAGCTCACTTAAAACACTAACATTTGAGAGACATTGAGCTTACTTAAAACACTAACATTTGAGAGACATTAAGCTTACTTAAAACACTAACATTTGAGAGGCATTGAGCTTACTTAAAACACTAACATTTGAGAGACATTGAGCTTACTTAAAACACTAACATTTGAGAGGCATTGAGCTTACTTAAAACACTAACATTTGAGAGACATTGAGCTTACTTAAAAACACTAACATTTGAGAGACATTAGCTTACTTAAAAACACTAACATTTGAGAGACATTAAGCTTACTTAAAACACTAACATTTGAGAGACATTGAGCTTACTTAAAACACTAACATTTGAGAGACATTGAGCTTACTTAAAACACTAACATTTGAGAGACATTGAGCTTACTTAAAACACTAACATTTGAGAGACATTGAGCTTACTTAAAACACTAACATTTGAGAGGCATTGAGCTTACTTAAAACACTAACATTTGAGAGGCATTGAGCTTACTTAAAACACTAACATTTGAGAGACATTGAGCTTACTTAAAACACTAACATTTGAGAGACATTAAGCTTACTTAAAACACTAACATTTGAGAGACATTGAGCTTACTTAAAACACTAACATTTGAGAGGCATGAGCTTACTTAAAACACTAACATTTGAGAGGACATTGAGCTTACTTAAAACACTAACATTTGAGAGACCTTGAGCTTACTAAAACACAACCTTTGAGCATGAGTTACTTAAAACACTAACATTTTAAGAAAGGCAAACCTAATTAAGGCATAAGCTTACTTAAAACAATACATTGAGAGACAAAGCTTCCTTAAAAACTAACATTGAGAGACATTAAGCTTACTTAAAACCACTAACATTTGAGAGCATTAAGCTTACTTAAAACAATAACATTTGAGAGACATTAAGCTTACTTAAAACACTAACATTTGAGAGGCATTAAGCTTACTTAAAACAATAACATTTGAGAGACATTAAGCTTACTTAAAACACTAACATTTGGAAAAGTCATTGCAAATCTTTATAGACATTTACAAGATTGTATTTTCCTAAGGGACAGAAAAAAGAACTCATTCATGAAACAGGGAAAGGAGGGCTTGCCTCCATTACTACAATGTAAATGGTATTTACCCAAAATAATAATTTATATTTACCAAATCAGAAATGGGAGAATCCAAATGATCAATATAATATAAAATGTGATATATTTTGAAGGCCGGAATGTTTGTTAATTTAAGTAACAACCAATCTCTCACATTCGACCAAAACTATTCAGAAAAAGGGCATGAGAAAAATAAATGTTCCAACGATTCATCAGGTAAATGACAAAAGGAACATGGTTCCACTTCACATTTAAATCTTGAATTTAAAAAAGTAGAAACCGGGTAGATTTTATGAACAATTTAAAAATGAGTTTCTTTTGCTTTAGGAGAAATAGGCCATTTTATAAAATAAGATAGCGCTTTTTCCATTACAGATAAAGTGCCTAAATCGGTCCCTTGTGGAAATAAGCCTCTGTTCAAAATGTGGGATTTCAAAGAAGCATTAATAGATTTGTTATTCTTCAGAGTATCGCCAATACATTCCAAACTAGGTCAAACTGATACAACATTTGAGTAAAGTATTATGAATCATTTCAATAAGTGGTACAGGAATTGCTTTACAGATGTTGTTATAATCTTTATACACGTTATATTGTATTTCGTTGAAAAAGCCAAAACATCTAGCAGTTCATTGCAATCTAGTAAATCACTAACAAACTAAATACCCATCTCATGCCAATCACTCCTAAACAAGAATTTTCTGTTTATAATAATCACTCTATTGTTCCATAACGTAGATCCATGAGGAGAACGATGGTGGGTAAATATCATTTTCCAATAATGAAGTATCTGCTTATGAACATTGGGTCGGAATCTTATTAACCTTTTAAAAGAAAATCAAACCCTCCTAGATGTTTAAATCTGGAACCACATGGACTCTGGCTGAGACAAAAAAGCTTTCAACCATTTTATTTTAATTGTTCCAATCATCGATTCAAAGTCTAAAGCTTTAATTCCGCCTTTATCATATTCTTTAACAAGCTGTGACTTTTTAATGTAGTGAGTTGTATGTCTCCACAAGAATTCGAAAATAATTGAGTTGTTTTTTTTAATATTGGCCGAAGAGACAAAACATGAGTGGCATGGATAAATACGTTTAGATATACCTTCTGCTTTAGTACGAAGAACTATAGTAAGATCTCTGGTTTACCAACGACTGAAAGATTTCTTCATATCTGTGATACGGTTACAAATATTAAGATCTTCTCCTTCTTCCTGATATCATTTTGAGATAATGTTATTCCTAAATATTTCACTTCAGGTACTCTAAGAGAGACAATAATGGAATCATCACATGAATGGATAGGGAGTCATTCACATTTTGAAAAATTAAGAGATAACCCTGATGCTTTTGAAAAAAAACATTCCCATTTACTGAGAGATGACATATCCAAAGCCAGAGTTTCTTTTATCAGTTGTTTGATCTGTTTACAAAAATCTGCATTCTCCAAAAGACTATTATTGAATTTCCATATAGGTTTAAGATTGGGACTGAAGTTGCATAGTAAAAAGGACAAAGAGATGACACAGTGATCAGTTAGAGGTGATGCTGAAATGTCACACTTTGAGACATTAAGTTAAACTAGTAGAGATGAACCAATAATCGAGACTAGAACACTGACCATTGTTAGAAGATAAAAGAGCCTTCTTTCCACCTTTCTTAAGCTCCTTTTGTTCTTTGGTTTTAGCGCCTGGCCGACGCGCTCACACATCACTCAGAGTCACCTTTCTTTTGGTATATTTATTTCCAAGTTATCCTTCTCTGCAGTGCAATGCAGCGGTCAAAAAACCGTGTGGCTTCACAACCAAACTAGAACACAGAGTATCATCAGCAGGACTCTTTTAACCAGCTGAGGCAATCGCAGCACCAATCAGCCGCTCCGCCCAGCCGTGGCTGCGGATCATGATCACTTGACACCAATCAATTATACTCCATTACATACATTAAATGATTAAATAATACAAATAATAAATCAACGTTTTGGCTCCTACAGAAGAGTTAAACCAGGTATATTGTGACTTTGAGGGATTATTTATTCTCCAAACATCAGTTAAATTACGTTTAGAGGCCAAGTGAATAATAGAATCATTAAAATGATGACAATGTCCCCTTAAAGATAGACGATCTAACCACTCATCAGGAACTACATTAAAATCCCCTCCGATTATAATCTTATCAGTCATATAAAGTACTTTCCATTCCTCTCATTTTTGGCACAAGATTGAAAGAAAATGATTGTTTTTAATCTTTCTGTTATATCCATAAACACACACTAGTTAGTTAGTCCCATTAACATCAGTCACAACCATTAGCCAATGACCGTTTGTATCACTCCTGTGGTCAATTATATTTCCAGGTAACCTGTTAAATAAAATCATCACTCCAGCCGAATGTGATGTTCCATGGCTGAAAAACATGTTGTCTCCCCATTGTACTTTCCAGAACGTAGTATCTGCCTCTGCAGAATGAGTTTCTTGCAGAAAAACACAATTTGCCTTTTGTTCTTTACAAAAAAGAAAAATTGCCTTCCGTTTCACATTGTTTTTTAGCCCCCTAGCATTTAAGGATATGAACGATAACATTGAAAGAGCAAAGATAGAAACCTTGAGAAAATGCGATATATCGATGCGCAGAAGTGAGTAACGTAGCCCTTAACAAACATATTTAGTGCAATAGCTCACAACATTTTGAATATAACCTGAGACAAGTCCAATCCTAAAATAAATAAACACTCAAACTGAGAACTTCAGCATACCTACTGAGGACACCTGCTCCCTGTCCCTCCAGTTCATTACTGCCGTGTTTTTCACGTTATTCCGGGTCCACTCTTTTGTTGTCAATCAGCGCGAAGCCTTCCTTCAGAAAAGCTCTCTTCCCCTTTCTCCTGGCTTCTTGAACCAGTGGCCACAGCTTGGAGCGAGCCTCCCGGTCCTCCTTGGAGAAATCCTCTTTGAAACGAATGTGCATCTCGCAGCAGACTCTCGCATCTTTGGACTTTTTCCAGATCTCGTCACGAACAGTCCTCATCCCGAACTGAATGATGCTTGACCTCGGTGTGTTGTTGGAAGTAGCTGCATTACCCTTCATACCCAGCCGATGGACAGTGTCTACTGAGTCACGCAGCTTTTCCACAGACAGCGGAACAACTCTTGTGATTATCCCGATCACAGCTTCTCTTGTGTTTTCTCCTTCTTTTTCAGGCAGACCATTCGTCCTCAGATTCCACCTCCGTTTGTAGCGGGCTTGCTCCTCGCCACACTTACGTAGTAAAGTGTTATCTTTCAGAAGATCATCAAACTTTTTCTGAAGAGCAGAAATGTCTTTCTTATTTTCTTTAGCTGCGTCAGTGTTTGCTTCAATGCGTTTTTTAAACTTTTTTAACAGCTCTGTCTGTTCATCCTTTTTTCCGGAAAGATTTGAATCGCCTGGAGAATGGTGCTGCTGCTATCCTCTGCCATTTGTGTTTCGCCATGAACCTTTGATTTCTTTGGATTCGGTCCTTTAGTTGGTGTGTGGTCCCAATTTGTTTGTGTCCCTTAGAGTTTTCCGCTTCCATGTCCTCAATATCCGAGTCGTCACATGCCTCATGGAGAACTTTTAAGTTGTAATCGTGGTCGGTCATGCTAGCAGGCACTTTATGTCAAAAGTGTTGGTAACTGAAGAGTTAAAGTAAAATGTGACTATTTAAGCTTCTATAATAACTTAAAGTGTATCATGAATAAGCTATTGCCTGTTGGTTTTGCAGTCAAGGACTCAAATCTAAACTTTTTTTACGAGCCTGCAACGTTGCTGCTTCTCACTCCGCCATCTTGAAGTCTATTCGTCTCCACTAAGATAGAAGCAGAGAATTGTCCAAAATGACTTGGTAAGATGAAGCATTAAGAATCTCTTCACTGGAACTAAGGGGCCGAGGCCATTAGGAATATATATATATAATATATATATATATGTATATATATATATATTCACATGTTTATGTATAAAAGACATGGAAAAGTGGATTTTGCACGACAGGTTTCCTTTGATAGCATGTGTTAGCTACGTGCTAACACTGGTCATTGAGAGATTTCCCCTGAAAGTCTCTCAAAGTTAAAGAACTCCATGACTCAGAGTTCGTCCTCGCTGACATCCAGCTCCTTGTCGTCCCTCCGGTTCTCCGTCAGGATCTCTGTTAGGTTCTCCGTCAGGAACTCTTCCTGCTGGTCCTCCAGGTCCTGCAGCTCCGCCTGGAGACGCTGCAGATGGAGAACCCTCCGGTTCCTCAGCAGCCGGCCGGGGAACGGGTTCATGTCGCTGAACGCTATGCTGGTCAGCCGCCTGCACACAGGACGCAGCAAACAGGAAGTCGTTTATAAACAGGAAGCAGTACACAGGAAGTAGTTGATAAACAGGAAGTATTTGATACACAGGAAGTAGTTGATAAACAGGAAGTCTCTCTACCTGCCGTCGGTGATGGTCTTAGTGAAGAAGCGCAGGTACTGGTGGATCTCCACTCCGTCCTGGATCTTCAGGATGTCCTCCTCTTTGTATTTGAACAGAGCCAGAGCGTACCTGAACACCACCTGCAGACATTTTCATTATTCAAATATAAAAAATAGCGTCAGGAACTTTGCCCTGGCTTTTTTTGCTTCAAACCCCAAACAGATCCTTGTAGCCCCACCCCCCCCCCCCCCTCTCTTCCAGCTGTTACTAAGGACATGTCTCTGAAGTGTCCTGCTCCAAACCCCAAACAGGTCCTTGTGATTGTGGTGTAGCGTGGACACCTCTATCTGAGTGATCGTGGTGTAGCGTGGTCACCTCTATCTGAGTGATTGTGGTGTAGCGTGGTCACCTCTATCTGAGTGATTGTGGTGTAGCGTGGTCACCTCTCTGAGTGATCGTGGTGTAGCGTGGTCACCTATCTGAGTGATCGTGGTGTAGCGTGGTCACCTCTCTGAGTGATTGTGGTGTAGCGTGGTCACCTCTATCTGAATGATTGGTGTCCACCTCTCTGAGTAGTTGTGGTGTAGCGTGGTCACCTCTATCTGAGTGATTGTGGTGTAGCGTGGTCACCTATCTGAGTGATTGTGGTGTAGCGTGGTCACCTCTATGAGTGATCGTGGTGTAGCGTGGTCACCTCTATCTGAGTGATTGTGGTGTAGCCTGGTCACCTCTATGAGTGATTGTGGTGTAGCGTGGTCACCTCTATCTGAGTGATTGTGGTGTAGCGTGGTCACCTCTATCTGAGTGATTGTGGTGTAGCGTGGTCCACCTCTCTGAGTGATTGTGGTGTAGCGTGGTCACCTCTATCTGAGTGATTGTGGTGTAGCGTGGTCACCTCTCTGAGTGATCGTGGTGTAGCGTGGTCACCTCTATCTGAGTGATCGTGGTGTAGCGTGGTCACCTCTATCTGAGGGATTGTGGTGTAGCGTGGTCACCTCTATCTGAGTGATTGTGGTGTAGCGTGGTCACCTCTGAGTGATTGTGGTGTAGCGTGGTCACCTCTCTGAGTGATTGTGGTGTAGCGTGGTCACCTCTATCTGAGTGATCGTGGTGTAGCGTGGTCACCTCTATCTGAGTGATCGTGGTGTAGCGTGGTCACCTCTATCTGAGTGATCGTGGTGTAGCGTGGTCACCTCTATCTGAGTGATCGTGGTGTAGCGTGGTCACCTCTCTGAGTGATTGTGGTGTAGCGTGGTCACCTCTCTGAGTGATCGTGGTGTAGCGTGGTCACCTCTCTGAGTGATCGTGGTGTAGCGTGGTCACCTATCTGAGTGATCGTGGTGTAGCGTGGTCACCTCTATGAGTGATCGTGGTGTAGCGTGGTCACCTCTCTGAGTGATTGTGGTGTAGCGTGGTCACCTCTATGAGTGATTGTGGTGTAGCGTGGTCACCTCTCTGAGTGATTGTGGTGTAGCGTGGTCACCTCTATCTGAGTGATTGTGGTGTAGCGTGGTCACCTATCTGAGTGATTGTGGTGTAGCGTGGTCACCTCTATCTGAGTGATTGTGGTGTAGCGTGGTCACCTCTCTGAGTGATTGTGGTGTAGCGTGGTCACCTCTCTGAGTGATTGTGGTGCGTGGTCACCTCTATCTGAGTGATCGTGGTGTAGCGTGGTCACCTCTATGAGTGATTGTGGTGTAGCGTGGTCACCTCTCTGAGTGATTGTGGTGTAGCGTGGTCACCTCTATGAGTGATTGTGGTGTAGCGTGGTCACCTCTCTGAGTGATCGTGGTGTAGCGTGGTCACCTCTCTGAGTGATTGTGGTGTAGCGTGGTCACCTCTATCTGAGTGATCGTGGTGTAGCGTGGTCACCTCTCTGAGTGATTGTGGTGTAGCGTGGTCACCTCTATCTGAGTGATTGTGGTGTAGCGTGGTCACCTCTATCTGAGTGATTGTGGTGTAGCGTGGTCACCTCTCTGAGTGATTGTGGTGTAGCGTGGGTCACCTCTATCTGAGTGATCGTGGTGTAGCGTGGTCACCTCTCTGAGTGATTGTGGTGTAGCGTGGTCACCTCTATCTGAGTGATTGTGGGTGTAGCGTGGGTCACCTCTATGAGTGATTGTGGTGTAAGCGTGGTCACCTCTATCTGAGTGATTGTGGTGTAGCGTGGTCACCTCTATCTGAGTGATCGTGGTGTAGCGTGGTCACCTCTATGAGTGATTGTGGTGTAGCCTGGTTACCTCTCTGAGTGATTGTGGTGTAGCGTGGTCACCTCTATCTGAGTGATCGTGGTGTAGCGTGGTCACCTCTCTGAGTGATTGTGGTGTAGCGTGGTCACCTCTATCTGAGTGATTGTGGTGTAGCGTGGTCACCTCTATGAGTGATCGTGGTGTAGTGTGGTCACCTCTCTGAGTGATCGTGGTGTAGCGTGGTCACCTCTATCTGAGTGATTGTGGTGTAGCGTGGTCACCTCTCTGAGTGATTGTGGTGTAGCGTGGTCACCTCTATCTGAGTGATTGTGGTGTAGCGTGGTCACCTCTATCTGAGTGATCGTGGTGTAGCGTGGTCACCTCTATGAGTGATTGTGGTGTAGCCTGGTCACCTCTCTGAGTGATTGTGGTGTAGCGTGGTCACCTCTATCTGAGTGATCGTGGTGTAGCCTGGTCACCTCTCTGAGTGATTGTGGTGTAGCGTGGTCACCTCTCTGAGTGATTGTGGGTGTAGCGTGGTCACCTCTATCTGAGTGATTGTGGTGTAGCCTGGTCACCTCTATCTGAGTGATTGTGGTGTAGCATGGTCACCTCTATCTGAGTGATCGTGGTGTAGCGTGGTCACCTCTTCTGAGTGATTGTGGTGTAAGCCTGGTCACCTCTATCTGAGTGATTGTGGTGTAGCGTGGTCACCTCTCTGAGTGATCGTGGTGTAGCGTGGTCACCTCTCTGAGTGATCGTGGTGTAGCCTGGTCACCTCTCTGAGTGATCGTGGTGTAGCGTGGTCACCTCTATCTGAGTGATTGTGGTGTAGCGTGGTCACCTCTCTGAGTGATCGTGGTGTAGCCTGGTCACCTCTCTGAGTGATCGTGGTGTAGCGTGGTCACCTCTATCTGAGTGATTGTGGTGTAGCGTGGTCACCTCTATCTGAGTGATCGTGGTGTAGCGTGGTCACCTCTCTGAGTGATTGTGGTGTAGCGTGGTCACCTCTATCTGAGTGATCGTGGTGTAGCCTGGTCACCTCTCTGAGTGATTGTGGTGTAGCGTGGTCACCTCTCTGAGTGATTGTGGTGTAGCGTGGTCACCTCTATCTGAGTGATTGTGGTGTAGCCTGGTCACCTCTATCTGAGTGATTGTGGTGTAGCATGGTCACCTCTATCTGAGTGATCGTGGTGTAGCGTGGTCACCTCTCTGAGTGATTGTGGTGTAGCCTGGTCACCTCTATCTGAGTGATTGTGGTGTAGCGTGGTCACCTCTCTGAGTGATCGTGGTGTAGCGTGGTCACCTCTCTGAGTGATCGTGGTGTAGCCTGGTCACCTCTCTGAGTGATCGTGGTGTAGCGTGGTCACCTCTATCTGAGTGATTGTGGTGTAGCGTGGTCACCTCTCTGAGTGATCGTGGTGTAGCCTGGTCACCTCTCTGAGTGATCGTGGTGTAGCGTGGTCACCTCTATCTGAGTGATTGTGGTGTAGCGTGGTCACCTCTATCTGAGTGATCGTGGTGTAGCGTGGTCACCTCTATCTGAGTGATTGTGGTGTAGCGTGGTCACCTCTATCTGAGTGATCGTGGTGTAGCGTGGTCACCTCTCTGAGTGATTGTGGTGTAGCGTGGTCACCTCTATCTGAGTGATCGTGGTGTAGCGTGGTCACCTCTATGAGTGATTGTGGTGTAGCGTGGTCACCTCTATGAGTGATTGTGGTGTAGCGTGGTCACCTCTATCTGAGTGATCGTGGTGTAGCGTGGTCACCTCTATGAGTGATTGTGGTGTAGCGTGGTCACCTCTCTGAGTGATTGTGGTGTAGCGTGGTCACCTCTATCTGAGTGATCGTGGTGTAGCGTGGTCACCTCTATGAGTGATTGTGGTGTAGCGTGGTCACCTCTCTGAGTGATTGTGGTGTAGCGTGGTCACCTCTCTGAGTGATTGTGGTGTAGCTTGGTCACCTCTCTGAGTGATTGTGGTGTAGCGTGGTCACCTATCTGAGTGATTGTGGTGTAGCGTGGTCACCTCTATCTGAGTGATTGTGGTGTAGCGTGGTCACCTCTATCTGAGTGATCGTGGTGTAGCGTGGTCACCTCTCTGAGTGATTGTGGTGTAGCGTGGTCACCTCTATCTGAGTGATTGTGGTGTAGCGTGGTCACCTCTATCTGAGTGATTGTGGTGTAGCGTGGTCACCTCTCTGAGTGATTGTGGTGTAGCGTGGTCACCTCTCTGAGTGATTGTGGTGTAGCGTGGTCACCTCTCTGAGTGATCGTGGTGTAGCGTGGTCACCTCTATGAGTGATTGTGGTGTAGCGTGGTCACCTATCTGAGTGATTGTGGTGTAGCGTGGTCACCTATCTGAGTGATTGTGGTGTAGCGTGGTCACCTCTATCTGAGTGATTGTGGTGTAGCGTGGTCACCTCTCTGAGTGATTGTGGTGTAGCGTGGTCACCTCTATCTGACTGATTGTAGTGTAGCGTGGTCACCTCTATCTGAGTGATTGTGGTGTAGCGTGGTCACCTCTAACTGGGTGATCGTGGTGTAGCGTGGTCACCTCTATCTGAGTGATCGTGGTGTAGCGTGGTCACCTATCTGAGTGATTGTGGTGTAGCGTGGTCACCTATCTGAGTGATCGTGGTGTAGCGTGGTCACCTCTATGAGTGATTGTGGTGTAGCGTGGTCACCTCTCTGAGTGATTGTGGTGTAGCGTGGTCACCTCTATCTGAGTTATTGTGGTGTAGCGTGGTCACCTCTATCTGAGTGATTGTGGTGTAGCGTGGTCACCTCTATCTGAGTGATTGTGGTGTAGCGTGGTCACCTCTATCTGAGTGATCGTGGTGTAGCGTGGTCACCTCTATCTGAGTGATCGTGGTGTAGCGTGGTCACCTATCTGAGTGATTGTGGTGTAGCGTGGTCACCTCTCTGAGTGATCGTGGTGTAGCGTGGTCACC